GTGGAAATAGATTTTTTGTAAAAATTAAGAGTGGGACTGTAAAAGGGAAGAGGAGGATGGGTTGGAGCCTGGGTGGGAGGGAGTTGGGGGAGGGTGTCACTATGTTCCTAAATCTTTATATATGAAATACATGAAACTTGTATCAGAAATAAAATTTAAAAAAAGAAAAAAGTTGTAGAATAAGACAGTGGGGGAAATCTTAAGTTAAAAAAATCATTTTAAGTATTTTTAGTTATGTAAAAAAATCATCCCTTTCTGTAACGAGTGATTACAATATAGGCATTTTTAACCAAGTAAAGGGAGGTCACTAGCTCAAACTTTTTTCTTGAAAATAGGCCTACCTTACTTGAACTTAAGGAGAAAAAAATCAATAAATTACCAGAGACACAGCCTGGATGACTGCCCAGCAGTGATGGACAACCAGCGGAGTATAGGCTTGGTCTCCACGCAGTGTCAGCAGAGGCAGAGCAACAATCCTGCCACTAACAAAAGCAGTCAGCTAAAAAGCTGGGCAATCACTCTTGGTCTAACAGCAAGTAGGTGATCGGTCCAGGTGTTCTGGTAAAATCCCTTTGAGAGGTAGAATCAATGATTCAACATCACTTTTTGCTGCCTTATTAAAAAAGATTCTTCTACACATTTCCTAATACCTTGAGAGGAAAAGAACTGGTTTCTAAAATAGAACACTGTAGGGCCAGAGCTATGGCACACCAGGTAAAACTGCTGCCTGCAGTGCCAGCATCTTATATGGGCACCGGTTCAAGTCCAGGCTGCTACTCTTCTGATCCAGCTCTTTGCAATGGCCTGGGAGGGCACTGGAGATGGCCCAAGTTCTTGGGCCCCAACACCCATGTGGGAAGTCTGGAGGAAGCTCCAGGCTCCTGGCTTCAGGTCGGCCAAGCTGTGGCCATTGTGGCCATTTGGGGAGTGAACCGGCGTATGGAAGACCTCTCCTCTTTCTGTCTCTGTCTCTGTCTCTCCCTCTCTTTCTCTCTACCTCTGTAACTCTGCCTTTCAAATACATAAATAAAATCTTTTTAAAAAATTAACATTGCATACTCAGATGCAGAGATTTCAAAATTTTTGCACCAAATATTTTAATTTCATTTTCTATGAGCTTTTTCAAGTATTCTCATATAAGAAATTCTTATTTATTAAATAAAGCAAAATTTAATATCCTAAAACATGAACTTTTTTTTTTTTTGACAAGCAGAGTGGACAGTGAGAGAGAAAGGTCTTCCTTTGCCGTTGGTTCACCCTCCAATGGCCGAAATGGCCGGCGCGCTGCAGCCGGCACACCGCGCTGATCCGATGGCAGGAGCCAGGTACTTCTCCCATGGGGTACAGGGCCCAAGCACTTGGGCCATCCTCCACTGCACTCCCTGGCCACAGCAGAGAGCTGGCCTGGAAGAGGGGCAACCGGGACAGAATCTGGCGCCCCGACCGGGACTAGAACCCGGTGTGCTGGAGCCGCAAGGCAGAGGATTAGCCTAGTGAGCTGCGGCGCTGGCCTTTTTTTTTTTGACATAAAACATGAACTTTCTATCACAAGGTTCTACGACAATTCTAAGATATCATTCAGTTGCTTAAAGAATCTCCTATTCTCATAATAACCTCAAACAGCTTAATTTATCTCTAAATTGGAAAGTCATAATTTAATACACAAAATGGTTTTAACTAATTTTTAAAAATAGTTTGTTAGAGGGGATAAACCAGGATATTAATTCTAAAAGCCTCATAAAACCAGAAAAATAACATATTAACAGTAAATATTGAATCAACTCAGATGTCCATCAACCGATGACTAGATAAAGAAAATGTGATAGATACACTATGGAATACTATTCAGCTATAAAAAAGAATCAAATCCTGTCTTTTGCAACAAAATGAATGAAACTGGAAACCATTATACTTAGTGAAACAAGCCAGTCCAAGAAAAACAAATATCTTATGTTTTCCCTGATCTGTAGTAACTAATAGAGTACAAAAAAAGTAATGTATATGAGTGAAACTGACATTTAGAGATTTGATTATTGTTTACAGTGCTTCTCTCTACTGCTGAGGAACAGTGATTTTTTTTCCTTCTATCTGTTGATTTATTTACTTAGTGGAGTGTTGAGCTTATGATTATAAAATAAACTGAAAGAATGCAATTGTGAAAATTAAAAAAGGAAGGAGGAGGAAAGGTAGTGTGGTACATATCACTGTGCTCCTAAATATATTCGTTCAGTTTATATAAATAAAAATATTGTCTGCTTGAGAAAAGCAACCTTGGGGCCATCCTGACACTGATCAGACACATTTGTGCTTTTCACTACTTGTGTGATGCTGGGCTCATCATTTCTAAGACACCTGAACTTATGACATTTTCCAGCATAAGGATTGTTTGGAGTTCCCACAGCCTATTTATGAGTTTCTATGCTGAAGTGGTCACTTAGATGTGTCTGAAAGATCTGACTCTTACCAGAGTCATTTCAAGAGTTAATGTTCTCAGTGGGTTAACACAGGGAACTGTGGTCTTCTGAGTGTAAATTTGGGTTCACTTTTAAATAATGTCCCTTTAGTTCCATTCTGGTCTGGTCATCCCTGCAGCACTGTGTAATATCAAGCCCTTGTTCCCTTGGAACTGAGTCCCTGTGACCTATTTGGCACCATAGTCTTGGTAAATATTAATAAATGTTACTACAGTTAAAAAAACAAGTAAATAAAATATTTAAAAATAGAAAATATTTCAATATAATAAAAATATTATATTATCAATATAATAATATTTGATTTTATTTAATATGTAGGGATATTTTATTAAATAGATAATATTAATATTAATATTATTTGATGTTTTAATATTTTATATAATAAAATATTACAGTGATTTGGATGTAGACATTTCACAGATATGTAAAGCAAGACACCATGTCAATTATGACTTTATTAATATAATGTCTAGGGATTGGCATTGTGGCCCAGCAGATTGGGTCACCACTTTAATGCCAGCATCCCATATCAGAGCACCAGTTCAAGTCCTGGCTGCTCTGGTTCTAATCCAGCTCACTGCTAATGTGCCTGGGAAGGCAGCAGCAGATGGCCCATGTGCTTGGGTCCCTGCCACCAACCCAAAACATATATGCAGTTCTTGGCTCCTGGCTTTAGCCTGGCTCAGCACCATCTGTTGAAGCCATTTGTGGAGTGAACCGACAGATAGGAGATCTTTCTTCTCTCTCTCTCTCTCTCTCTCTCTGTTGTTCTTTCAAATAATTTTTTTTTTAAAAAATATTAGATGTCTAATTACAACAAAGCTTTGGATTATGTCCTAAATATTTCTGTCAAAACTGAATTATCAGGATTGGCATTGTGGCATAGTGGGTAAAGCCACCACCTGCAGTGCCAGCATCCCTATGGGCACCTATTCTAGTCCTGGCTGCTCCACTTCATTCCAGCACTCTGCTATGGCCTGGGAAAACAGCAAAAGATGGTATGAGTCCTAGGGCCTCTGCATCCACATGGGAGATCCAGAAGAAGCTCCTGGCTCCTCGCTTCGGATCAGCTCAGCTCTGGCTATAGTGGCTATTTGGGAAGTAACCCGGCAGATTGAAGACCTCTCTCTGTCTCTCTCTCTGCCTCTCCATAACTCTGCCTTTCAAATTAGTAAATAAATCTTTAAAAAAAAAAGTGAATTATTTATCCAGGGCAGGCATTGTGGCAAGTTGGTAAAGCTACCACCTGCAATGCCTGCATCCCATATGGGCGCAGGTCAAGTTCCAGCTGTTCTACTTCAGATCCAGCTCCCTGTTAATGGTCCAGAAATGCAGTGGAAGCTGGCCCAAGTCCTTGGGACAATACCACTCATTTGGGAAACCAGGAAGAAGTTCCTGGCTCCTGGCTTTGGACAGGCCCAGTTCAGGCCATAGTAGCCATTTGATTAGTGAACCAGCAGACAGAAATCTCTCTCTCTCTCTCTCTCTCTCTGCCTCTCCCTCTCCCTCTAACAATTGCCTTTCAAATAAATAAGTAAATAAACCTGAGTTATTCATAGAAATATAGAATACCTGTGGTATAAACAACACACATTTGATTTTAATTTAAATCAGTAACTTCATAAACTAAAAAGAGGATAGTGGTGCTTATACAGTGTGTTCAGAATCTACCAGCTGTAGGAATACACAATAATTTCCATTCCTTGAATGGATGAGCAAACACACCAACAGAGATACTATACTGACATTCATTTGTATACTTTCACCACAATCCTGATTTAATTATTCCTCACCCACTTTCACAGATGAATGACTGAGCTACCCCAAATCTCATGCTGTTTGGACTCTATAGAGCTGCTTTGACCAGATGAAAAGCCCAACCACAAGCCACAATGCAACAAATCATCCTACAGAGCTCGGGCAATTCTCCAACTGCCAAATTCTTAAATAAGAATGAGAGTTGATCTCTTTGGAAATGTGCTCATTAACTACCTCTGTCTTCTCTTGGTTGAAAATTTCTAATTGCTGGCACAGTTATTTGTGTTATGGCTTAGTAAGCCATTAATTCAATCAGAACAGGAGAAATTATTAGATCCAAAGATATATGCTTTTCCATTTACTCAGTAAACAAGCATGTTAAGCATTTATTATACTTTGTATGTTTCATGAATATCTCTTGAGTACATTTGTACTCTGACGTGTAAATGATACACGGAAATCCCAATCCACAGTTAGTGCCTTTAAAAACATAGATTTCAACCTAAAATTTTCACACAGAGACTTAGTGTTCTTGTATATGACGGAATTGTGTTAACTCTCTCCCCTAGTATGAAATGCTTGCTAAAATATCTACCTATATATTTATAATTTAAATCATTTTTAAGAGCTACATTATCACAATAAATGTCCTAAATTTACAAAAACTAAAGATAGAGAGTGACAGAATTTGTCAAACATTTTTCAAAAGTCACACTTTCTACATATATTTTTTAAGGGAAGCTGAAAAGTACAGTGCAAGATACTTACTCATCTATTTGACAAACACACATCTCCACTTCTTTCAGTGCTGTCTGGAGTTTGCCCAGCAGTTTCTGGTAGATATCTTGGGTTTCTAAGTCTTCTTCTTTTAATAAATAGCGGAGACCATGGCCATCTTGCTGTCCCAGAGACAGACCCGAAGGGGCCGCCATAGTGGTGATGGTGTGTTGAATGTACACCATGGGGCTCAGCTTCCCTGAGGAATGACAATCATCCCATAATAATACTGATGACCTTTACCTTATAATAACTATACGGTCCACTTCATCTGAGTGGCCCATGCTCACATAAATTAAAATGCCAATCCAATGGTGAACTGAATTCAGGAATTCAAGTTTGTGGAGTGTTGAAATGAAAAGCTACAAATACAGTTTGACTCCTTGTCCCACTCCAATGGAGCAGAATGACATTATGCATCCCGCAGCTGCTCTTCTTTTATTTTTCTCACAGTAACAGGGTCATTTCAGAGTAGTAACTTTCATAATAAGATGAGCTGTGCCTATCATACATAGAAGGAAGGTAAGAGAAATCATCTTTCTTACAAGGGGAATATTAAATATGTCACACTCTAGTCTCACTATATACACTTGGGTATAATTATCCATAACATTGCATGAGCAATCCTCTCTTTGTAAAAGTTCAGGCTTGCTTACATGGCAGGAATCTACCAAACTACAGGATTCTAGAATACTCATGATTGTATAAATTACTTTTTATGATCTGATGAAGTCTCAAAAGCTTACATACCTTGTTCAGTAGATTTATTCTCTTTATCATGAGAGTTATGCTTCCTACTATCCAACTGGACACCAAATGCACTCCCGAGTGAGGTCGATGTTTTGGGATAAGAAACTTCCATCACATTGACGTGACAGTTGGTAGGGCAGAAATCACTGCTGTGCAGTGGGGAGATTTTAGATTTGGCCTGTTTGAAGGTGGGCCATGCTCTATTCTTCAGTACACGAGAAAACTGCAGGTTAAAAAAGGAAATAAAATGCAGTTAAACACACAGTAAGAACTCACAGGGATTTCACTTGCATCATCCATAACAAAATAAAAAAATCAAATCATTTCAACAGCAATGAGTGAAATAAACTGAGCTGTAAGAATTTAAATTATTACTTCAAAACTCATTCTTAATAAAGCAAAGCAACATAGGCAGCATATGAATCCTTTGAAATTCTAATTACAAGTTAGGAGTTGAAAGAACTGAATTTCAGTGACGAATGAAATTTACTGGGACTCAAATTCACAAGCTCTCAGCAGCTGAGACAGTCTGATAGATAGATTCCTATTCTGATGTTCTCAGAATAGGAATCACATCTTTAAAGTGAGGCAAGATAGCAGAATAAGGTGCTGGTTGGGTCAAGGGCAGAAGAAAATGGGATAATTCTAAGCATCATCAGAAAGCTGATGCCAAGCAAGAGTCTGTGAACAGGTCAGACAGCAAACTGTAGTAATGTTGACCCAGCCTGGCAGGGGGCTGTGCTCCCCAGGCTTCCTGCAGTCAAGATCAGCAGAAGACTGGTGTGCACTCTACTTTTATGCCACTAAGAATAAATTGATACCAGAATGACTTATGAAGCTTAAAACAGTGGCCACTCCAGTGATGCAAATCTTGTAGTAGGTTTCCATTCAAATCCATCTACTCCTTGCCATGGTCTATAAAGCTATCCAAAGTCTGACCCTTACCTAATTTATCTCAAGCTCTCTTCCTAAGCGCCTTTTGACTGTCACGTAGTTCTCACACACTATCTACTCACTCTGGGCCTTTGGACATGCTGCTAAGGTGCTTAGAATGTTCTTTCTTCATTGCCAGACTTTTTTTTTTTCCTATGCATCTTTAAATTCTATCAAATCATCAAGGGGCCTTCCCTGAGCCCTTGCCTAGGTTCAATATCCCTGGGTACAAGCTGGGTTATAGCACACTGTAATCCTCCTTATATATAATCATCTTACCACTAGCTAGCCTGAATCAAATAAGGGATATGGACTAAGGAATCTCTATATGCTGTTCCTGCTTGGGGGGTGAACCAACCGCAAAGGAAGACCTTTCTCTCTGTCTTTCTCTCTCACTGTCCACTCTGCCTGTCAAAAAAGAAAAAAAAAAAAAAGAAAAGAAAAATATAACATGTCCCTACCTATTGATCCTACTAGTAGAGTTATAAGTTGACCACTGAAAAGAATAGAACTTGACTAACACTGATCATTGCTTAACTTTCCTAGGATTAACTTGAAAAGTATATATTAAAATCATATCCTGTCACTAAAAAGCTCACCAGTAGATTATGGACTTACATGTTTCATACAGGTTTACTATATATATATATATATATGTTTATACATACATAAACATGTATATGTACATTAAACTATGCTTTCTAATAATTTGTTAGAAGCTGTGTAGCTCAGAAAAGTGCTAGCATACTTAGGAATCTAAATAAAACTAGACTGAAATGCAGGGAATTATTAGTAAAATTACTAACAAGTTTAAAAATAATGTGTGGGGCTGGCACTGTGATGCAGCAGGTTAAAGTCCTGGCCTAAAGTGCCAGCATCCCATGTGGGTGCCAGTTCTAGTCCCACCTACTCCTCTTCCAATCCAGCTCTCTGCTATAGCCTGGGAAAGCAGTAGAATATGGCCCTAGTTCTTGGGCCCCTGCACCCGTGTGGAAGACCCAGAAGAAGCTCCTGGCTCCTGACTTCAGATTGGCTCAGCTCCGGCCATTGAGGCCACCTGAGGAGTGAACCAGTGGATGGAAGACCTCTCTCTCTGTCTCTACCTTTCTCTGTAACTTTGTCTTTCAAATAAATAAAAATAAATCTTAAAAAAAAAGAAAAGAATGTGTAATAAAACCATCCTAACCCTGAAAGAAAGCAAAGGATTTAGAGAATTCCAAGTCTATCTCCTTCATGTAATAACATGAAGGAACTTTGACCTGGAGATTTACATGAAACAGACCTAGAATTTGAAGTCAGAATCAGAATTTCAGCCACTTCTTTTCCACTGTTATTACAAAATAAGTCTTAGATGAGGTTCCCATGGCACACACAGAGGTACAGATATCAATGTTACTAAGTCACAGAATCCACTCTAATAAGAATTTATGCTTTGCTTCTCGGCTTCTGCTTTACCTAATTACTCATACACTCAAAAATAGGAAAGAAGACTTCCATTCCAGGCCTTGTGCTAAATGCTGGAGATATAGCCCTTGTTCTCCTGGAGTTTATGGTCTGGTAAGGACACAGGTAAAAACAATGTAATATTATTGGCATAGACAACAAGTATCTCATTACAGTTACATGCATAACATATATAAATACATACTCAATTAGCTATCTACATCTACATGTAGTGTGTGCATGTGTGTGTGTGTGTGTGTGTAACAATTATATAATATATACATAAGCCAGATAATTAGAAACCTGGAGAAAGAAGTGAACAGGGCAATGTAATGAAGTGTTAGTTAAATGATCAGGGAGAGAAGGGGGAAGTCCCTTGCCAATGGGACCAGCTGTTTCCTACAGCTCTCTCTGCTCAAGACAAATAAATGCCTATGATTACAATGTGCTCCCCTCTGCATACACTTGGAAGAGGTGTGCACTGTTTGTGCAAATGTGTCTGGAACCTTCTCTGCCAAGAACCTCTCTTGGGAAGGAAGGGCATGAGGAAAGCAGTGCTTCATCCATCTTGGGTTGTCTGCTAAGGTTTGAATGTGTCCCTCAAATTTCAGGTGTTGGAAACATAATTCCCAAATTCATATGTCAATGGTATTTGGAGATGGGGACTTTTCTAAGGGGCTTCATGAATGGATTTATCCATTCAAGGATTCATAAATTCATCTATTCATAGATTAATGCATTATTGAGGGAGTAGACTTGTTGGTAGAAAAAGCTCTCTCTGGCAAGCTCTCTCTGTCCATGTGATACCCTTTGCCATGTCATCACCCAGCAGGAAGACCCCCACCAGATGTGGTCACATCTTCCGAAGCCACCTGAACCAATCCATGGTGTTCAGCTACAGTAACAATCTAAGTTACATGAAAACACTCAGACAGCTGTCCCTATGAGAAGAGGAACCAGTGGGAGGGACCCTTTAGGCACAGGTACTGGCAATGTACTGGAGAGATTTGGAAGATCAAACCTCTATTCCCAGAAAGTTTGTCCCACTATACAACTGCTAGACCTTTCTAAAATGCAAACCTAACAGAAAGACAGTGCAGTTGGTGCTCTGTCAATGGTATGTGCATGAGGACACGTACTGTGTCATAGTAACTAGCCCTGAAAACATCCACCTGTTTTCAACAACATCAAATGAAACACGGGGCTCACTAAACTGCTTTGGAAAAAGCTTCTTAAAAATGAAAAAACAGCTCCTTTCCCTAAATAAAAATTGCAGTTTTTCAACAAATAAATATATAAGCTGTGGGGAAAGTTGAGTTGGGAAGGGCAGGCCTTTAGACCTATTATGGACAACATAACCCATATTTATTACCACCTTTCCTTATCTACCCAACAATTACATTTGTTTTTTTAATATTAGAGGGGGATTGATTCCAGGACTCCCATGGATACTAAATCCTGAGGATGCTCAAGTTTCTCACATATCATGACATAATATTTGCATATTACCCATCTATGTCCTCTTATATACTTTAAATCTTATCTAGACTGCTTACACCTAACACAGTGTAAATGCTATGCAAACAGTTGTTATATTGCATTGATTTTTTAATTTGTATTATTCTTATTTTTCTAAATATATATGTTCTGCTGCTGGCTGAATGTAGAGTTGCTGAGCTTGCGCATACAGGGGACAACCCTATATAACAGGGCTCTTTATGTGTCAGGCATTGTCCGAGGCGTCTTGAGAAACATCAGTAAAGATTCCTGCCCTATGAGAAGCTGCATTCTAATGAGGGAAAAGGTAAATAGTACATACAGTAAGTCAATTGTCTAATATTAGAAGATGGTACATGTAACTGAACACAGAATACAGAAGACTAAGAGGATTGGGAGATTCAGAGATGAAATGAAGAACAGATTGTGACTTTTACCTGGAGCAGTCAGAGCAGGCTTAACTGAAAATCTGATATTCCAGCAAAATCCTAAAGGAGGAGAGAGTAAGGAATGTGGATATCTGGAAAAGAAGTGTTCCTGGCAGAGGAACAGCCAGTGCAAAAGCCCCACGCTAGTGCATTTGAGGACCATCAGGAAGACCAGAGTGGCCAAGACAGACAGTGCTGGGGGGAGGGTAGTGGGAGGAGGAAAGCACTTCATGAAAGGATCCCGGGAGCCACTGGAAGGACATGGCTTTTACTGTGGTTGAAAGGCATTGTCCTTCAGAAGCAACTGTGTGTGGGTGAGCAAGAGTGAGAGCAGGAAGAACACCTTCAATAGGAGAGACCCAGCAGTGGGTGACCCCGAGCTGTCAGCGCCAGAGGCAGTGAAGACTGCGTATTTTCGATGGTAGAGACCATCTAAAGAATGGTGAGAGAAAACGGAGGTGAAGAATGAATTCAATTCACAATAGCTAAGATATGGAAACAACCCAGATGTCTATCAACTGATGACTGGATAAAGAAATTATGGTATACATACCTATGGAGTAACTGCTCAGCCAAAAAAAAAGAATGAAATCCTGTCTTTTGCAACAAAATGTATACAATTGGAAGCCATTATACTTAGTGAAATAAGGCAACCCCCAAAAGGCAAATACCATGTTTTCCCAGGTCTGTGGTAACTAATACAGTACCTAAATTGTAATGTATTGGAGTGAAACTCACATTTTGACATTCGATGATCATTTACAGCCTTTGTCTCTACTGTTGAGACAAACAGTTTTTTTCTTCTTACTGTGTTTTGAACTCTTTACTTAGAGTACAACTAATCTTATGAGTATAACGTAAGCTGAAAATAGATCTTTGTAAAAATTAAGGATGGGAATAGGAGGGGAAGGAGGAGGAAGGG